TACTGTTTCGTAACGAATAAAGTATCGTCGAGATTGTGAAGCGACTAAGAAGACTTATAATAAATTTTATAAGACAATAGATCCTTCTTTTTGTCGTCTCTTATTCCTTATCGATTGACTATCGATATCAATTCCGATTTTCATCCCTTTTTTCATTCACGTTCTTCGTGACAGTAATCTTTTTCAGACATGTATAAGGAAAATTTTCAAGTAAAAATTTACAAAAAACCTTCCACGTTCGTCGACTCGTTCTGATCTGTTAAAGATGAATATTATTCGAAATTTATGCTAAAATTGGTCTTATATAAAGTAGTACTATCAGGCAAGTTACTCGTCATTTTCAATTTTCATCTCTTAATTATGTATTGGTTAGGAAAATTATCGTAGAAATTTCAACGAAATGCGAATATTATTTTAATAATAGAAAGAGAATTATTTTAATAAGTATTCCGATGAAATAAATTCAGAAACAACATGACGGACACGGCGGCAGAGAAGAAGGCAGGGATGAAGGGTGGACCGGGGACATCCGGCGAGGGTGACGCTCTTCCAAAAAAGAAAAAGCCAGCACGCTTCGATTTTGGCAGACGATGGCATAAATTCCGTGTTTTGACGCCGAACTCTGCGATCCTTCGTGGTTCTTACGCGATGAACGATCGCCACTTCAAATACAGAAGCCGTGGTCGTCAAGCTGCTCCAGCATCGATCGTAGCCATCGTCTATGGCCGTTTATTCGAGCCGAAAGAATGGGTGAAAGAATACGTAGACCAAGTGTTGGAATACGGAGACAAAGTGTTCCGTACCAGCGTAATGAGAAATCACGTAAAAGATAACGAATATATGAAAGCCAATCTTGTCCATCCAGAATTCTACATTTCCAATTACAAAGTCTTAGTCTGCGTAGAAGAGACAGGAATTTATGGAAACTTGTTGAGTGAAGCTGTCGGTTGTCCGGACTTTGCGGATGGATTGCAAAAGTTCTTTCAGAATAATGACGCGGGAGTAATCACAGCTCAAGGAACATCTATGGCCATGTGGCGTCATCCTGAAATCGGTTTTTTATTCTTTGATCCAGCACCCTGTGACGAGGAAGGTGTTCACCATCCAGATGGTGTAGCCTGTGTCATGAGATTCAAATGTCTGAACGATATTCGCGATCATTTCCTCAAGAGTATGGACCAGAGATACGATTCCAGATATTGCATCGACAAGGTGACTGTGTTGAAGGTCACCGAAGTAGGTCGTGGATATATTGATCGTTTACCGAGCAGCTTGTACGTCGATAGAAGCGTTTTAAGAACTATCAATCCTGTCGACATCGATGAGAATAAAATGGACTGCACCAAACCGGTACCAAAGGGACAGAAGAAGCAGGTTGTTGTAGCAGCTAAGATTCATAGAGAACCTTTACAAATTACCATTTCGAACTACAGTATTGATAAGCGTTTTGCAACAGATCCTCTCGTAGATCAGAATAAATTCGATACTGGTTACAGTTACGAGGACATGCACGTGAACGTACCATCGACGTTTAGGGAGCTTCCCGGTTCTATGGCTATTCTCCACGGGCTGACTCACGAGCACAGTGAGATGTACAAAGGCAAAGGAGCTCAGAATGTAGCAAACTGTGTTCTGGCTATCGCCATGAAGAAGGTTCATCCGGTAAAAACGTGGCTAAGGCCAAAGTTAGACGAAATATTGGCTTTGGGCGATATTTTGTACGCCGAGGTGAAGTCTGCCAAGCCAATGATGAAAAACATGACTGCTCCTGATTTGAACGATATCAAAATCGAATTAGAAGGGAGAAAATTGGTTATAGACGTAGATTTGATCACGGTCACTGGAACGATCTCTTCCAAGATACCAACTGTGTTGAATCTGAGACAAGCTTTGGAAGAATTCTTTCTGGTTAATACAGAAGGAGTAATTGAATCTTCTTCCATGTCCGTGGCGATTTGGAGTCAAGATGATTGTTTCTATATGTTTGATCCTCGTCAGTGTGACGTGATTGGAGTTAGGATTCGAGAGGAAAAGGGTGGGAAAGGCGCCAAGGCTGAGAATTCTCAAAAGAAAAAGGGCAACTGTTGTGTGATAAGATTCCCTACTACCGACGCGTTGGCTGCTTTATTTTTGAAAAATTTGGAACAGGCGAAGAAAAACGATCGTTTTACCATCAGACATATTACAATTCCAGATGACGTTCCTGGAACCAGACCGTGGCACGATTTCCAGCCGGGAACGCCAGGAGAGACGTGGGTTCTTCAGGGAACTATATCGAACGACGACGAAGGCTTTGAGGACGAAAGTAGAGGAATTCAGGGACTGGCTATGCCAGTGATAGCTTTAGTTGCTGCTAGGGAAACACCGCCCGCGAAATGGACCAACGAGATCGTTGACACCGTAGTTAGAGAAGGAGACGCTTATTACAATTGGTGTAATCCGCTTATGGAAGTTGGTGAAGATGTTGAACGATATTTCTTCGTGCCAAATTTGAAGAAGAATCTGTACTTTAAAAATAGAAAGGTAAAAATCGATGTGGAAGAAGGAACTGTTGTTGGAGACTTGACTTCACCAGCCGATTCCGATGTTCCAAATTTGGTCTCAGCTTTAAACCAATTTTTCGAAGAGTATCAGTATGGAATCGTTGACGTGAAGAATATGAGCGTGGCCGTGTGGAAAGTTGAAGAAGAAGTAAAAGAAAAGGACGAAATGGTCCCACAGAACGTGTATTACTGTTTCGATCCTAATCCTCGAAACAAGCAGGGTTTATGGTTAATCGATGAAATGGAAGATGAAGAGAACGCAGCCTGTGTAATTCGAACTTTGGATCTGTCTGTTCTGGCGAGTATAATCGAAACGAATGCAGGCCAGGATTCAGAAACAAACAACGAATTCGCCATTCATAATATGAAAGTCGTTTCTATAGGTCAAGAAATGACCGAAGAAGAAGTTGAAGCAGACAAACAGATTCCAGTGAAGCCTGATTTGAATAATTATTTCAACATGGGTGACAATGGAGCTATCTTACTAGGGAGTTTTAATCAAGCTAACGAAGTGATGTTTAAAAGGCAAACTAGAGACAAACAGCAAGCTGGAAGTGCCTTGGCAACATTAGGAATGACCAAACTATATAATCCTCATTTATGGTACAGAGAAGTGGTGGACGATATTCTTAAAATAGGTGATAAGATTACTACAGACAATTTAGAGAATCTTCCAGAAGGAGCAGAGGAGGAAGAGACTCCAAGAACTTATCTCATCCCTAGTGAAATTAGCGAAGATTTCGCTGTTGGAGTGAACAGAATATACGTTAGCCTCGAAGAAGACACTGTTACTGGCAAGGTAACTGATCTACAGTCGCAATTGGAGACTTTCTTTGAAACGAACGCTATGGGAATATTTAGGCAAGATCACGTAATAATGCCTATTTGGAGAGAAGGCGAAGTATTCTTCACGATGGATCCTAAAGGTAGAGATACTCGAGGAGAGCCTCGCGAAAGAGACGGCACTGCTGCTGTAATGTGGTTCACTGACATAGAGTCACTCGCTAACGCAATTACAGCGGTTGCTACCGGTGAAGATTTCACTTTGGACGTGGTCAGCCTGGATAACGCATACGAGACACGCGTAGCTGAAGAAGAACGTCCAGCGAAGCCGAGTTCAGGAGACAATCCGTGGTATCATTTCCCTAAAATGACAGAAGGCGTATGGACCATCGATGGCACAATTGGTATGGACGATATGAAGTTCGAGAGAGTCAATCGAAATAACCAAACCGCTGCCATTGCTGTGATGGCCATTGTGTTTGCGAAAGTATATGAACCGAGATACTGGACGCAAGCTGTGCTCGATGAGGTTATAGTGACTGGAGATAAACTACACTCAAAATGTGTAGATAGACTTGGA